TCTGTCTGTCTGTCTGTCTGTCTGTCTGTCTGTCTGTCTGTCTGTCTGTCTGTCTGTCTATCTATCTATCTCTCTATCCATTTATCCTCTCCCTGTCTTTTCAATATATATTTATATGTCTAAGAGTAACTAGGTAGCACAGTGGATAGAGCACTGGAGTTGGAATGAGGAAGACATCTTCCTGACTTTAAATCTGGCCTCAGACACTTATCAGCTGTGTGATCCTAGGCAAGTCACTTAACCCTGTTTGCCTCAGTGTCCTCATCTTTAAAATGAGTTGGAGAAGAAAATGGCAAACTATTCTAGTATCTTTGCCAAGAAAACCCCAAATGGGGTCATGAAGAGTTGGACAAGATTTAAATGACTCAATAACAACATATGCATATGTGTAATATATATGCATATGTATGTGTATGTAATATGTGTAAATAAGTACATATATAGTTAAATGATTACATATTACAGACATATATCCATATACTCAGGCAGGGTGGCAAACTTGCGGCCTTGAGGCCACATGGGGCCCTCTAGGTCCTCAAGTGTGACCCTTTGACTGAATCCAAACTTCACAGAACAAATCTCCTTAATAAAAGGATTTGTTCTATAAAACTTGGACTCAATCAAAAGGCTGTACCCAAGAACCTAGAAGGCTACATGTAGGCTCGAGGCCACAGGTTCCCCACCCTTGTACCAGGGGTTTTTAGCCAAGGGACCATGGACTTGTTCTTTTAATATTTTGATAACTGATCATTGATTTCCTCTGTAATCTTATGCATTCTATTTAATGCATTTAAAAAGCATTCTTCTGAGAAGGAGTCTATAGGCTTCACCAGACTACCAAAGACATACAAAAAGGTTAAGAACCCTTGACACACACACACACATATGTGTAAATATATATTAACATCTTATATATGTGGGTATATAAATGTATATGTATATAATACTAACATCTTGCCCAGCTAGATTTTTCCCTCAACCAAACATGGAATAACTGAATAGATTTCTGAAGCCTAAACTATTCATAAATCAATTCTGAACCACATACTCCTTTCCAAATGAGAAGTCTTTTACATTTTCTGTTGAAACACTGAGGGGACAGGTTTCTATAGTTACACAGCTGAGCCGCAGAATATATTTATTTCACTTTAGTGCGCAATCTCTGCATGGATACAGTGGGATCAAATCTTTCAAAAGTAATTATTGATATTAAAGTTTAAGAACTGCCGTAATTTTTCACTTGCAGACCAAGTGCTATGATAGGAAAGGGAGAAAATGAAGGTTTAAGTCACCATAATCTGCCAAATGGAAAGAGGAACATGGGGGAGATTACTGGCTCCAAGCTTTCCTGCTTCTCTCAGCTTTAACCCAGGTGTGAATATCGATCAAATCTGCCTCTCTCCCATCCTCCAAAAATGCCAATTATTGCATTAACATTATTCTGGACTCTTTTCATAAACCAGCCTTCCTAATGAGGAGTGATGGATACTGCTTCATTATGTCCTAATAAAATTACTCTCTCGTTTACAGATGCCGCTGATGCTTTTAATCACACAGCACCATGGTATCCAAACCAACAAACATCCAGTGAGCTCCTCTTAGAAGACAAGTAGGGTTGTGAATATCCTGGACTTGGAGTAAGAAGCCTCAATTTTCTCATCTGCAAAATGGAGTTTAAAATACTTGTAGCATCTAACTTAGAGGGATTTTGAGGTGAGGAGAGAATACTTTGTAAACTTCCAAGTAATAAATAAATGTGAGCTTTTAATAAGGGCATGGGAAGAAGGAAGGAAACAAGCATTTATTAAGCACCTACTATGTGCAAGATGTTATGCTAGATGCTTTTCAAATATTATCTCATTTGAGCCTCACAATAACCCTGGGAGGGAGGTGTTATTACGATCCCCATTTTACATTTGAAGCAACTGAGGCAGACAGAGGTTGTTACTTCCCCAGGGTCACAGTTGGTAAATATATGAACCTAGATTTGAAATCAGGCCCTTCCTGACTTCAGACCCAGAACTCTATCCATTGTACCACCTAGATGCCTCTAGATAATATGCATGGTAATATGCTAAGTCTCGGGAATTTTTTGTTTGCTTCATTTTGTTTTGGCTAGTACCTGTGATTTCATCAGCGTGGATCATGGGTTCAAACCCGAGCTCTGCCATTTACTCTGTGTCTGTCTTTGGACAAATCACCTCACCTCTCTGGGCCTGTTTCCTTATATGTAAAATAATGAGGTTGGGATATATGATCTTGAAGGAACCTTCTAGCACAATGCTTGGCCCATACATTCTTAAAAATGTTTGCTGATCGACTGATTGATTCTAGCTCTAAGAGGTTACAATGGTTGAATTTAATCATGCAGTTCATACAAGGTGTATACTGGTTGTCTTGAAAATGAATTTAAGGTGGAAACTGATAAATCGTACTAGAATGGTATAAACAGTGTTATGGAAATTCCTTCTACACACACTGATAGGATTTACCAATGCTTTACACATATGTAACTTACAACCATTTAACTTTTCATTTAACATTTTCCTTCACAAATAAATTCTAGATATATCCCATTCTTATTTTCAAGATTTATGTGCTGAATTTTACATTTTCCTAATAAATGTTTGCCATTAAAGACATTCCAATAGTTGATTTGCCACCCCTCTCTGCTACCCCCCATGTTCTTAACAGGCTTGTACACCTTTAGGCAGATACAAAATAAGCTAATAGGTAATAGTCTCATCAGAACAGTAAATGCCTTGGGGAGAACATAGGGTTTGGAGTCCGAAGACCTGTGTTTGATTCCTGGTTCTGCTGTGTACCATGTTTGTAATTTAGGGCAAACCACCTACTTTCTGGGAGATCTCAGTTTCCTCATTTGTTAAAATGAAATGGTTGGACTAGAGGAGTTAGGTCACCTCTGACTTTAAATCCCACCGTCCTGTATGTTTGGCTATCTATCTTATATATCTAGTTAAAATCTATTTGATTTCAAAATGTTGTCACTATTTAAAAAAAAAAACACCTGATACATAGTCAAATAAAAGCAAACTGTCACTCACAAAGGTTAGGAATAAGTGAGTTGAAGATCTTGTTAATATCTCAAGTTTTGGCACTGCACTCAAGGTTAACAATGACATCAATGATCTTGAGGGAGCCCATATAAAGCAATAAAAATTCATGACAAATATCCAGCTAAGGGTTTTTAAATTTTAAAAATCTAGAAGATTTTGGCAATTCTTGGTAGAGCTTTAAATAAACCAAGTGAACAGATCTTGGAGGTAGGGGTGGGGAGGGCAAATTGCTGTATTTTTTTCAGATAATTTTCAACTCAAAAAGACTAATAATACAGATTAGCCAAGTGCATGATCATCTCCAATGTGGTTGTGATAAAGGTAAAGCAATTAGCAGTTGGCTTGAAGCAAAAAGTATAATAAATTCATTTCAGCATTAAAATTGAAATTGGTTTTATATAAACCCCCCAAATCAGCAGTTTCTACTGCTCCATTTTATTAAAGTTGACAAAAGGGCTTTCTTTGGAAATTGCCCAAGGTCATTAGGCCAAAGGATCTGTCATTTTTCTTCTTGAATCCTGCTTTATCACCTATGTCTTCTGTGATGAAAGTAAGTATAAGGAGAACAATTACCCATGAAGAAAAAAGAGATCAGAAAGAAGAATTCCTTCCTTTGACTTTGAGTTTAAAGGTGGCAGAGTGCATAGAGTACTGAACTTGGATTTAGGCATTTGAATCCACTTACTATCTTTGTAACTCTAAGTTACTGAACTCTACTGTGCCTCAGTTAACTCATCTGTAAAATGGGGATAATATCTGCAACCTCTCAGAGTTGCTTTGAGGATCAAATCACATAACGAATGCAAAGTACTCTGCAAATTTTAAAGCACTCTATGAGTGCTATTTGTTGACATTGTTATTGTTATAACTGGTGATGAACTGCTGCTACCAGCTCCAGCAAGACATCATTATGGATGAAGGACAGTCTGGAATACACAAAGTCACCTGTGTTGGTTTGGAGCTACACCCATGCAACACTGGCATGGGGAAGTGGCCATGCAAATCAAGGCACCCCACAAGGCTGTGTCTAGTGATCAATGCATTGGAATACTGGCCCATAATGACATGTGAATAAGAGCAGAAACTTGTGGGCACCCAGTCTACAGTGTAAGGAAAGATGTACAATATCTCTTGGTGGTACCACGAGA